AGAACGTGACATCTAAATCACACATAAAAAAGTACAACAAATTCAACAACTTGTTAATATGTGTTCCCCTCCGAGCACACTCCTAAACACACACAAAAACACGGCATAGGGAAAGAATCACAATTCACAAGTAGCAGTCAGTGAGAGGTCCACTATTTAGTAGTACGGGGTTTTCCCCTATCCGTCTCTTTCTTTTTCTCTCCTCCCCCAGCAAGGAAGTGAGAGGTCCAATAAGTAGGGAGGGAAGAAGACCTTCACTTCTTCACTTCCTCTCTAATTCCCATTCAACCCTTTCCCCTTAACCCCGTTTGCCTCCATCCCACATCCCCAGTAAGCCCCCAACCCCTTCTACCTATCTATAACATATTATGTTTTTTGAACTGTCCTTTATAACTTGTAAATTGTTTTCTTGATTGCAGAGTTGGTCAAGTTAGCTGCTTTGCAGCCAGTTTATGGTTTTTGGGTTTATGGAGAATAGAATAGCTGCAGGGAGTTACTTTCAGTACTCTCCATCTGGAGGTCATCCCCCACTTCAGAGGTCTACTTCCATTTCAGATCGTGAAAGGTCACAACTTTGATTTTCCCAAGTCTGTTTTTTCATCCAAGTTCATGTATTTATGTAACAATTTCAATATCTAATTTTCATTTATTGATGTGGATCTCTCTAGTCTGGTTTCTTTTGTTGCATGACTTTAGTACGATGTTTGTGTTTTTCGTTTGTGGTGGTCTCCTAAGAGGTTTGAGTGTCATCTCGTCAGTCTTTTGCTGACTTGACATCCTAATACAGCAATATTTGCATAGGTTTGTAACTCTTGTGCTGTCTTTGGCTTTCATTCGTGGACAAATTTCTGATGTTCAATTTGCAAATACATCAACAAAAATTGATTAAGCATGTCGAAAGAGGATTTTCACTTTAAATGTCCTCCTATTGATAATACTTTACTTTTATACTCTTTTTATTAATGTTCACGATTTAAATTCTTTACTTCTTCCAGATATTTGGCAGATTTAATAGCAGAGAGGCGCAATTTGGGGCCTTTTATACCAATTTTGCCTATATGCAGCAGGCTTCTAAATCAAGGTTGTACGTTGTAAAATTACTGTAGCACATTTTGTCACAGTAGATTAGTTGGAATATTATTTGGAAAAATTAATGTAGCACTTTTTGTGATGTGACTTATGTGAGATAAAAAGGTGATTGAAAAGATAAAAAGGCGTGTTGGAAGATGTGTTTGTGATGCATGCAAACAATTTTTGGCCAAATAAGTACTATCCAAACACACTTACACCACATGTGAAGCAATAATGTTTAAAAACTTACATCCATTTATATGGTGTCATATATTTCACAGAGTTTTCTGACCATTGGCAAGATTGTTATGCTGTGCCTTGAAACAAAAAAGTAGAATACTAGAGTTAAGTGTAGCATTTTATTGATAGTACAAACATAACATTTCTGTCATAATTTTTTACCCAGCCCGAAAAGCCTACGACACATATTTTTTATGTTTAAACTGTTCAAATATCTTGAGCTGGCTTTCCCAGAAAGAGTGACCATTCTGAAGACAATCACCGTTTTTGCTATATGGTCACCACTACTCATTAGCTGTTCATCACCTATTGTGCTTCTATCATGCGAGGCCTAGGTGAATATTATTGATTTAACTATTGCCAAATTTAAAATCCAAGATCTTCAGCACCAACACCACCGGAAACTGAGAAGAGGATTCTGGATTGGTTGGTGTCTGTGATAATAAGTACTGCATCACAAGACGTAATGCATTAGCATGCCAAATAATAGGCTCTGCTGTAGCTCTGCTTTTTAGCTTTAAATTGACTTTTAAATAGCTAAGTGAATTAATTATGGAAAATTCCAGCAGTAACAGTAATTGACCTTTTGTGATGTAATCCCTTCTTTTTGAAGTTTAGCCTCTTATTGGCATTTCACTTGAGTAAGCTAAACAAGCTTGATTTTAAATTTGCTTTTTGGCTGACAACATCCTTTTGTAGAAATCATGCGGGTATCAGGATTGGTATCAAATCAGTATTTGGATCATGAAAGAATGGGCCATGAAAGTCCATATGGATCATTAGGTCAACATCCTAATGGAGGACCAATGAGTGTGGAGACATGGAATCCACTGGGAACAGAGGTATGTGTGCCTTCTCTTTCAACAGAGTTAGTGAAGCAAGGCAATACTTTATAGGTTTACATTTATTGTGATTATGCAATTCATGAGGATTTGATACCTTAATCTGTTAGTGTAGAGCATCCATATGCCAAATTGTTGATAGTCAAAAGTCTTATATAGATAGAAACATATTTTTATGAACAGGCAGCCCATAAATCTTTGAAATTCTGTCTGGTTCAGCATTCTCGATAAATTGGCTTACTGTTACAAGAAAGGTCCTAGGGCAAATTTTTAGAATTTGTTTTCGTTTCCATTTGCAAACTCCACTGCTAATTGGAGGAAGATAGCCTATTTATCTTTTTTCTTCAATAGAAATTTATATATTCATGAACCTAAGCGTTGGTGCAATGTCTGTTTTGACTGGGGAAGTAACTGCCTCAATAACAGGGATGATTTATTGTAGGGATTAGGCAGCTAATACTCTTCCTAGATCTGTTAGTGGCAAGACATGACGTATATCTGCTCATAAATTCTGTGTAAATATTAATCTGGAATAAGGTTTAATCCCTTGTTCCATAATTGTCTGGATCCTCTAGTTTCTTATTTCAGTTGATTGAATTATTTGGATTTATTACATGTCTTGCGGTGCATAAGCAATTTTGAAGTTACTAGTCTTGGCTATACATTAGTTAAGAGCTTCTGGTTCTTATAATCTAAGAAGCTATATACTGAGATTGAACATATGTTCTTCAAATGTAAGACTTATGGTGGCATGAGTTGACTTGTTTCAGGAAAATAGACTTCTCCAGAAGTTGGCTCCATTTCAACCTTCCCCTCTGGAATGGCATTCATCTCCAGGAACTATTCCCATTGTGAAAAGAGTCATCCGACTGGATGTTCCTGTAGACAAGTTTCCAAATGTAAGATGCAACAATATTCACCTTTTGTGTTTATGATTCCTGGATAGCAATGAAATCTAACTTGGAAATCATCCAGTATAATTTTGTTGGCCGAATTCTGGGTCCACGTGGAAACTCCCTGAAACGTGTTGAAGCCATGACAGAATGTAGAATTTATATAAGAGGTCAGGGCTCAGTTAAGGATTGTATCAAGGTAACAAATTCTTTTCCAAACCCTTTGGTAATTCGTTTTTAACTGTGAGAGTTTCAAGCTTAAATGAACATAAAGACAAATGGATTGAGGATATATCTGACATAAAATTGAAAGTTTTTGTCATCCCTTTTGTGGAAAGTTGAAAGGAAACTTTCAGTTCCTTATGGTAGTTGTTGGCTTCCAAACTCATTTAATATGTTTTTGAAATGCTAAGTTTTGCTCACTTGAGACATATTTCCTCCCCTCAGGAAGAGAAATTAAAAGATAAACCTGGATATGAACACCTCAACGAGCCACTACACATCTTGCTGGAAGCTGAATTTCCTGAAGATATGATTGATTCCCGTGTGGATCATGCAGTTGCCATATTGGAAAAGCTTTTAAAACCTGTGGTATGCGTTGAAACCACTATGCTGTCTTTTAATATCTCATTTTTTTTAGATATCTTACACTTCTGTTTCATAGGATGAGTCCATGGATCTTTATAAGAAGCAACAACTAAGAGAATTAGCTATGTTAAATGGAACTCTAAGGGAAGAAAGCCCTATCATGAGCCCGAGTATGAGCCCCAGCATGTCTCCTTTTAATAGCACTGGAATGAAACGTGCAAAGACAGGGAGATAACATCAAATACACATGATGGATTGCTGGCATCTCTGTTGGTTTCTCCCGATCTTCTCCTCCCTGAGTTACACCATCGCAAAAGCTTCTGCAAAAGTTGCTGAATTGCTTACATGATCTCTGAGCATGTTTTTGGGGAACCTAAAGTTGCTAACCACTTCGACGAGGATCTACTGCACGACATAGTTTATTGTAAGATTTCATTTCTATCTGACCATCAATTCTTTAATCTGCCAGAGTGATGATATTCATCAATTTGTTTTTGACAAAGATGCTTATAAGCTTCAATAATTTCAATCTTGCAGTCACGTTTGAGAAGGTTATCTTTCAAGTTGTGTAATAATACATCGATGGTTTGCAGATAAAGAATATTGTGAATCAACAAGCTTCATATAGTAGGCGTATTTTATGCATGATTACATATTTCTTTGATGTCTAAAACGTATGGATCCTCAACAGGAGTTTAAAAGCCGTGCTTGGACCTTTTGCCAATTATGGGGTCTGGCAACCATTTAAACACATTCCAACTTTTGTAGTTTCATCGTCCTCTGGCCTCTGGCTATACCATCCATTATCTCTCCCCAAGTAACAGGAGGGAACAACAGTGTAAAGGTATCAAGATATTCTCTCCTACGTTCCGAGCCCCTCAGGGTTGTCATAGCTGGCTTTGCTAATTTATTTTGAGAAAGACATAAAGCAACCGGCCCTTTCCCCTTTGCTAACTAAAGAATGCTTCTGCTTGGCTCCAAAGAAAAATCCTGCCGAAGCCATGTCAAGTGGATCATTCGTGCAAGGAGACGAGTCTGCTCGAGCTGTACGCAGGTAAGCAAAAATAGCTTTGCGTAACCTGCTCGAAGGAAGGCGAAAACCGTATCTAAGGTTAAGTCACTGTCTAAAGTACCCGGTGCAACAAATACAAGTAGCATAACATAATAGATATCACGCTGCCAGATAGCAAAGGCATGGTTTGAGGGCACAGGCAATGTGAGTGAGCCAGATTGTTCCAGTTAGACAAGCCCTTAATCTACATACAGTTGCGTGAAACCCCAGCCCTGCGAAGGGGTAAAAAGGTTACTGCACGCATAAAAACACAGAGGATCTACTTTATGTACCTGTTCATCAGCCAAACAAACAAACAAACAAACAAAACATGATGTGCATATAATAACTTGAATTCTACATACAGGATTGCCAAACTGAGGTTTGGCAAAAATAATCTTGATTTTCTCGGAGAACTCAATGAGATACACGTCTTCTATACAACTCGGGGCCACAATTCTATCCAAGGATGAAGCTGAGATATGTACAATCATACAATTTCAGCTGCAACCATTGATTGTCATTCATCACGTGTCAACAAATGATTCTCCAAAAAGGGAATACCCCAAGTTTCCTGATTTCACTCATATTGATACATATGCTACAATCTAGAAATTTAAAATATATGAACTTCAACATGGGGGTAGACGATTGCCCATAATCACATTGCGTCCATACAACTATTCGCCAAAGTGAATTGCCAATTACATCTGCACGGAAGGCTACAGTGAGAAAAAGGATGCAAACTTTTTTCAAAGAGAACGCATGCATAATAACATTGAGCAAATAAGATAAAAGGTCAATATCTCCTCTTGTCCCTAACATGAATATCTCTACCAAACCCCATAGGTCAAATATCAAGATGGAAATGCATGCCAGATGCAGCATGCTAAGTAACTAGACAGACAAGGGTGGAAAAGGGAGAGACAAACTATTTGGTCATGGATAAGAATCAAAAGATATGATGTAACTTTAGAGACAGCCATTTGAAGGGTAAAATACATCAAATAGTAACACCATACTACTGGCAGGAGCATGGGATCTGGCATGAATAAAATCATTTTTGCCCTCCTGCCTGCACAGGCCCAACATTGAGATAGTACAATCAAGGCTTTTATGGAGAAAGAAAACTACTGTTTGACATTTAGCCTACTATCCACCTATTTCATCTAAATTAGTGCTCTCCAAGAAAAAAGCTGGATCTACTCTGAACTACTCATGTAGATGATGCAGTTCTCCATATAGTAAGGTGGTTACAATTCTGCAATACAAGGATACCATCAAGAAGTAACCCCTCATTCATATTGCATCTCTTCATGCAAAACAAGATGCATAATGTACAGCTACCTACTACTATCTATATACACTATAAATCGATTCATATTTATGTAGGGAATTGAACCAAAATCAGAAATGAGCTAAATGAGACATCAACAGCAACACAGTCAACACTTTAAACATCAAACAGGGAGATACACCCAAAGCCTCACCTCAGTTATGTTCAACACATTGAGAGATGAACAAAAGCTCAATCCCGAAGACCAAGCTCAACCTCAAGCTCATCATCCTCTTCAAACAACTTAAGCAAGCGAGCGTACTGCTCTTCACGCTTCTTCTTTTGCCAAAACTTGAATAGGAAAAAAGATAAAAGCACAACAGCCACAACAACAAGGCATATTATTGCTACACTGGATCCCATGCTGCCATGTTTAATAGATTGGCCATCAGTCTTCGTCCCATTTTTGGAACTTGATGAATCATTTGAAGTACCTGAGCAGGAAATGAATACATCTTATAGGCTGATGATCTAACAAAGTGAGACCAATATTATTCAACACTACTGGAAACATAAGTAAGGGCTGATAAGATTAGCATTAAACAAGGAAGCAAGATATATTAATTTAAAACACGTACTAAAGACTACAAGAATAAGGTTAAATGCTTTAACCTCATCTTGCTATATCTCATGTCAAGCACCGTCAAGATTAAAAACTGTTCATGGCTCTCTGTTCAAGCTCAGCCATCTGTTTGCAAATCTACTGGCTGCCTACCTCACTATCCACATTCGGAATTCAAAAACACAAACACAAAAATCACTCATAGGATGGCTACCATGATGTGCACGTGGAGGGTAAGCATAAGATTGCGCAAAGGTGATTCTTCTTAGCACAAAATGACATTGTTCAAGAGTTTTAAAACAACCTTAATCTATGAAGTTGTGATGTCAAAAGTTATTTAGCATGTTCTTCAAGGGTGAATGGTACAGATATGCATGAGTTTTTAAAAATTACAAAGGTCCCCTTGAATCTTGAAATAGCAATGACCTCCTCTTATCAAGTTTTTGTTATTTTAAGTGTCATATACTCTTATAACCTTAGTGTTTGAATACTAAAGAGTTGATAATGTCAATAACTTTAAACATGTAGAGGAAACATATTCAACATAGCATCAAAATCAAGCTGACATCTATATATCCTCAAAATATCCATGGTGTGCCTCTGTAATTGTTCAAGGATCAAAATATCAAGGAAGATTATCATTCTTTGTATCATATGGTTGCCATTAGTAAGAAGACTAGCTCCCAAGTTGTCCAATTAAAAGGCAAATTAAACAATTACACTAAAACGAAGATGCATTTCTTCCTTCAGCTATAGCGGATTGTGTAACAGAACAAACAAAAGGGAAAGCATGAAAGACATTTTTCTGAATGAAACACTCATAAAAATGAATTCTTGAAACTTCATTTGACCTTGTCACAGGGGAGGCAAATATGATATGTAAATCCAGAAAGGTGGATGCTCTACGCGCATTATGGAATATTACTCAGACAATCAAGCACAAAATATTGGATTATGAATAAAACACTCATACTCATCCCTATCCTTAGATTCTCAAGCCTCTCTTCTCCTTCCAATTTTTGCTTTCTTCCACTCCCTTCAGTTAAATTACTCTCTCATGGTCTAGGAAATACTTGTAATCCAGATCACTAGCAACATGCTTGGAGCAGTTAACTGGTACTGGTTGGTAATTTTAGGGAACCAACTAAGAAGCCCATGTAGGAGATCCCTTTTGGTCCCATATCAATAAAATCAACCATTTACATCTACTCCTTTCACTGGCCACCTTGCCACGATCATCAGCTACAGGCATTTATTTGGTAAGAAAGAAATAGGACTTGTCAACTGTAAAAAAAAATCAAAAGTGAATTTGGAAGTAGGGACGAAAGAGATGCAAATTTTGGTTTAGGATTCCAACCAGCTCAAACTTATATTCAAAAAAAAAAAAAAAAAACTAATACGCTTCCCAAGAAGAAATAGAATGCATATCAGAGGATCATTAACAACACAATTCCGGAAAAATACATGCACATTACACTGCTAATATTTGGCAAATGCCAATTGGGGAAAAAGGTGTGATTTTTTTTTTTTTTTGGCAAGCACGAAAACACTTCAAACAGGCAGGCGAATGTAACAGTAATCATATAAACATAAGAATTGCTGCAACAGATCCAACAATTTATAGATGAATGCATATTAATCTAAGAATTTCATTTGCAACAATTGATCATAACATTTGACATGATCTAACAGCAGAACGTCTACCCGTAATCTTAAAGAAAACAAATTCTTCAAAATTTTAGGAACGAACCTGAAATGAATTGCAGAGAAATCGAAGTAAAAAGTACAAGAAACCGCAGCAATCTCCGGGCTGAGATCTCTCTCATTTCTTTTCTTTTCTGTGTACAATTTCTCTCGCCCTAAAAAACAAAAAAATTCCTCCTTTTTTCGGTTCTTCTTTCTTTAAAGAGTCTGAAAATATCGCCAGCAGCCAGCACTTAGAAATTTCTTTGTGCTTTTTGAAATTCGTTTTTTTAAAAAAAAAAAAAAATTACAGCTTTCTGCAAAATTACGCTACCATTTGAGAATGAAACTGGGCCGGCCAATGTTTCAAGTTATTGCAAACATAGTACTTGTCTTTTTTTTATACTATGTTCTGACCACTGTATTAGACTAATATTCTAATTCGGCATCGAAATGTTCTTTTGATTCAAAAGAGGCTCTATTCCTTATAAGAAAACAAGGACAAAGAGGTTTAAGTATGAGAATTGAATTGGATCTCACTGCGTCTGTTTCCTGATCAAGGTTTTTGTCACCTGGATTTTAGGGACAATATCCAAATAATTACTCCTACATACTATGAAGTATTAATCCAGTTTTGTTTTAATTTCATCATTGATTATATAATTTTAATAAGGACATTAGGAGGTGTCCCAAATTATATCTCAAGTTAACATGAATTACTTGTTAAAATATTATAGCTTTTAAGGTGATGTTCTATAGGCTCCAAGATTTTCTACAACTGAATTTAAAATATATGAACAACACGTTTTTAGCATCTCAAAAAAGCTTTTAACTAAAATCGAAAGTCAAAATAACCCAAACCCATGTATTTTACGATGCATCACATTGCAAACGTGTGTTTGGATAGAGTATTATTTAGAATATAATTTAAAAAATTATTATAATAAACTTTTTGGGATGTACTATATGTAAAAAAAGTGATTGACAAATACATTTATGAAGCAAACAAATTATTATTTGAAATAAAAAAATTTGTGTCCAAAAGCATCTACCTCGTGTTTACACATGGACATACGCGTGCATGTCCAACTTCCCTAATAAAAAAAAAAGTGTGCATAATAAATTTGATTATGGAAATAGAATATTTTTGCATCTGTAAGACAAGACGGAGGCTGCAAGTAAGAGATCCAATATTCAAGACGTCTTGCTCGAAAAAAAAGAAACTTTTAAGGAGATTTAGTTGCACAATTGTGTAGAGGTATGCAACTCCAATTCAATGAAATAAGGTGACAATATCAGTGAGATATAAGCCCAACTTCAGCTTCAATTGCCTCCCATCAATCAATACGGCTCCAACTGCCATATCAGATTTCTCGATCACTTTGAGAATTCAAAGTGGAAGATAAACAGCTCAGGAGACTGGAGACTGGACGGGGAACAGCAGTACCCATCTATCTATTCAAGGTGGCATTGATAGTTTGACACGGGTCTGGCCCAACAACACATTGACAGTGACAGAGCCAGAAAAAAAATTTTTTTTTTTGTAGGGAGCCAGAATTTTTTCTAACAAAATCATCTTAATATGTTATGTTTAAAATAATTTTCATCTATTTAAATATATAATATTTAAAAATATCAAATATTAGCTTCAATTATAAAAGTATGTCTATTCATAAATATGCAGCATAGTCATAACGCAAATTAAGACAAAAAATAACTTTTGATTAAATATCTTAAAATATGACAAATCACCAAGTTGCACATTATGAAAAGATATTCCAATATGTAGCCTATGCAAAAAAAAAATTATGCAATATAAATATAACTATTTTTAATTAAAAAAATAAAAGTTATGTTAACATACACTGAAATTTCAACATCTTTTCATAAAAGTAAATTGAACTTTACGTTCTTTTTAGAAGTAAATTTATTTATGATTTAATCAGTGCTAAATTTTGCAACAACTTTCTTTTTTCGATGTACATAATTAGGCAATTATTCAAGAAATTATCTTCCATCTTATTTTGAAACTGCCTTGATTATCTTCATAATTGAAAATGCCCGTTCTATAGTTGTAGTTGATATAAGAAGAATGATGACGAGCCTAATCAATTGGACTAAATTGTAGATTTGTACATAAGCCAATAAAGTAATTACTTTTATTTTAGCCCATTGATAATTATGAATTGGGTCTTTTATTACAATGTATCAAATTGGGTCAATTTACTATGGATTATCCATTATATGTTTACTTTTTTTAAAGTTAAATATTTTTAATCACATGCATATGCGTAAATCAATCATGGAAACATGCATATTTCTTCTTTCCCCTTTTTTTTTTTCAAAGGAAGAGAGAAGAAGAGGAGGAGGGTTGTGTTGGGAAAGCCGGATGCAGAGGTTCTACTGGTTGATGCATGAGCATGACTCGTCGGTTCTGTTCGCAGTAAATATTGCATGATTATGAAGGGTTTTTTCTATTAGTCAATTAGCTGCCTAAAGGGCACACAATTAGAAATAGATTTAGTGTTTTTTTTTTTCACAAAATAACTGATTTTCTTCTACGAAAGTGTTGGAGGGGTAATGCCTTTTAAAATTTTAATAGTTGATGCACCTTCTTTTTTTTTTCTGTGTTTATTAAATGTCATTAGGGCATAAATTAGAAATATCTAATTACTATAAAAGTTCAATTAGATAGGGTAGTCAAATAAATAAACTGTAACGAGGAGATAAATTTAGGTAGGCGGTACAATTTCATTAAGTGAAAAGATGTTTTCCCTCGTGGAATTATACAATTTTTTTGACGATTAATGCTTTATGTTAAGGAAAAATCGTTCAAAATATCTCTTATATTTTGCCAAATAAACTTTTTGTTATTCACTTTTAAAATGATAACTTTATGATATTTTACAAAATCAAATCCATAAAAATTAGTCATAGTTTTCAATCATTTTTTTGTTATGCTGAATCCATCCCATGACTCACACGTGATTATTTTTTAGAATTAAAAAAGTCAGATCTTATTTATAGTTAAACAAATAATCCGATTCATGCTTATTTCTTCTCCCACAAAAAGTAGGATATAGCCCAAATCATATTTATTTTTGATAAAAAAAAATTGGAATCGAATCCAATTCATATTTATTATTGTCACTAAAAATATAGGATCTGATCTTGTTATACATAAAAAAATATATATTGCACGTGATGATTTCATATTAAAAAATGATCAAGAACTAAATTTTGCCAACTTTTTAATTTGTAAATGATGTAAAGTTAATATTTTAAAAATGAATAATGAAAATTTTTTATTTGACAGAACGTAAAGAATATTTTGTACGATTCTTCCTTATTTTAATGACTATCATGATTTGGTGATTTCTCGTTGAAGCAGCTGACTAAATAGGAACGTGTGGTCAGAGAACAGAGCTCAAATGTTGGGGAGACACAGTGGCTGTGAATGTGGGCCGACCAGAGTCTACGGGAATTAGCTGGCTTTTGATGTAATCTGCGTGGCTGCCTACGGTTTTGAAAAGAACCTCAATCTACGGCTTTTGATGAGGTTTGAAAAGAATAATGGGATAATTTCAAAAACCTCCCTAAGATTTCTAATTATTTCATTGCTCCTTATCTATTATATTATTTAATTAATTTAATACCAATCCATAAATTAAAGAAAAACACTATAATTTATTATTTATTATTAGGAATTAAATCACACATAGTACCAAAAAATAGTATATCATGTTATATTTTCACTTAATACAAGTTCCAAATTATTATTTTTAATTGCATATCCATTATCAAACATAATTAACAACAAATAATAAAAAAACTTGCAACTAAAATATTACAGAGAACAAATTTTAACATCATAAATATTCTTGGCAACATATTAAGATTAGTTGCTGAGATTTTATGGTATTAAAGTTTGTTTACAAATTTTTTTGATTATTTATTATTGGTCATGTTTGACGATGAATTCGTAATTGAAAAAAGCAATTTAAATCTTACATTAAATAAAATATATAGAATAATATACTAATTGTGACGCTATGTGTGATTTAATCCCTGATGATAAACAACAAATTTTAGTATTTTCTTTAATGTTTGGACATGTGTTAGATTAATCAAATAATTTAGTAGATAAGGGACAATAATGGAATCATATTATTTTTTGTCTCCTAATATCACTTTTTAATTAGTAGTTGAATCTAGATATTACAAGATAATAAATTTTTTTAAAAAATAATGTAATTTTTAAAGCATAGGGGGAGGTCAGTGAAATAATAAAAAAATCTCAGGGTAGGTTTATGAAATTATTCCAAGAATAATCTACCGTTTTCAACTTCAAGATTCCAAAATTGTCCTCATCAGTCTTCCCAACAATCTCAAAATCTGGAAGCTTCTCCAATTCCATGTGGGAACTCGCGTAGGTTTCCGACATGTATTCCGCCCTTGTTAAGAAACTTCTAACTTCAACGATAAGACATTATAATTACAATAAACCCCTTAAACTTTACTTAAAAGTACTACTTCTCCCCTCCTCCCCCTTCATACATTAGCTATTGTTATTGCTGTATTAGCTATGTTACCTATTTCTGCACAGATTTTCCATCCTCAACTCCAAGTAAAATTTGGAGTCATTTCAACAAAAGTTGTTGTAGAAATAAAAATTGGACCGTGACAATATTTGATACTTTATGTTTTTAATTGTTTCTACTCCATAATGGTATCTAAGTTTGGAAATATTTTGCGATTAATTTTTTCTATACTGACAGTGTATGCACCATTAGCGTTTGATGAATGATAATTACGCAAAATTTGAATTTGAAATTTAATTTTGACACATACGTCATGGATCCAACGGTGATAATGTATACACTATCAATGTATATAAGATTTACTTGATATTTTGCATTATATATAAGATTTACTCTAACGGTGATAATATATACACTATCAGTGTTGGATGAATGATAATTATACAAAATTTGAATTTAAAATTTAACTTTTACACATATATCATGGATCCAACGGTGATAGTGTATATACTATCAGTATATATATAAGATTTACTCCATATTTTGCTAGTTTCTTTTTTTTTTTTTCTTGTGCGCATTGTTCAACTATAGAAACAAGTCCTTGTGTAGTTCAACCTTTGTACATCCTCAAGGTTTAGAATCATGTTCCATTACATGAATTAGTTCTTCTTCTTTTTGCACGTTCATCTATTAAAGAAAATATCGTGAAAATAGTAGAAAGAGCTAGAAATGCATTAAAAGCCAATTTGAAGCGACAAGTATGAAGAAAATATCGTGAAA